CAAAACCTTCCTTACAGGAAGGAACCAGCAAGGTCTTCCTGACTTTTTCTTATTGGGCCCTCCCCTCCACGGTTCTCAACCTCCCTCCTGGTACACCTGCCCCAGCTCCAGGCGAGGAGCAGGGTTGGCCTCTGTGTTCCCAGGGAAACAACTCTGGGTCCTCCCATGGTGGCCCCCATGACATGGGCCTGTAGGTGCTGTGGCCTGATGAGTTTCTGGACGGGGGCATGAATGCCAGTCTCTCCTAGTGCCTACAAGTGATTCTTTTGGGCCTTCCCCCAACTTACGTCTGTGGGGCAGCACACCCTTCCTCCCATGAGGTTCTGTGGCCCCCAGGGGACTGAGCCTGAGCTTCCTGCCCAGTTCCCTTTCCTCACATAGACTAGGAAGGGAGTTGGAGCACTGGGTGCTGGGTGGTAGAAGCAGAGCCAGTTCTGCCTCCTCTCAGAGGCCCTAAAAAAGACCTCTTCCATGATGCTGGTGACTCTCTTCAGACTGTGGCACCACAGCGTCCTCAGCTTTGTGTGGCCAACAGAAGTCCCCCTCAACAACCTGCCACATCCAGTCACACTTGGTGTCACGTTGAGAAACTTGGCCTTTATAGGTGATGGGGCAGGAGGGTGCTGCTAAAAACTTCAAACCGGGCAATGGTCAGATCAGGTTAGAAAGAGCTCCCTCCAAAGGCAGCAGCAGCCAGCATGGAGGCAGAGACCTCACCATCCTCAGACAGGAATCCGGCTCCTCCTCTGGCCATGCCCCCCGACTACGTGATAAGGACTCTGCAAAGCCAAGGGGTCTAGCCTGCCAGAAGCCTGTGCCCACCTTCGAGACCACCCATCCCTGCCACCAGAGTGTCCAGTTTCAGAATTCCCTGCCAAATGGCCGTGAGCCCACATCCAGCACCTGTCTGGGCCTCTCCAGGGTCAGTCCTCCCAAGGGCAGACCACAGACCCAGGTCCAAGAAGCAGCCAATGCGGGGTTATTTGCAGAGTGTGAACAGGCTGGGGCAGCCACACACGTGTGGGTCAGAGCCAGGGTGGGCCATGAGCCAGAGGCTTCCATTTTTTCTCTTGCCCCAAGCCCTCTAGATGTTACAGTTTAGACCTGGGGCAGAGACACCTTTAAAATACTGGTTTCTTCACCTTGGAACCACCTGGTGAGCTTTAAAAACTAGTAGAGTCTGGGTCCCAGGCTCCCCCGTTCTGAGTTTATTGGTCCAAGGTAAGAAATGAACTAGGGTCTTAAAGCTCCTCAGGTTCTCATGGGCAGCCAGGGTCGAGAGGTGCTGCTGTAGAGACAGTGCCATGATCCAGGTCAGAGAGAACAAAGGAAGAGAGGAGGGTCTGCTCTAGGCAGCGGGGAGAGGGGCTCCTGCATAGGTGAGTGGAGGCAGCCATGATGGAAGAGGGAACATGGGAAGCCTCTGTTTGGAGGACAGAGCTGCACATGTGGGGTTTAGGGTGTTTTTTGAGATATCCATGGGGAGATGTCTAGCAGGCAGGTGGATACGTGGCCTGGATCTCAGTTCAGACTCCTGGGCCTGAGGTAGAGTTGGAATTACCAGCACATAAATGGTGGCTGAGGCCGTGAACTTGACTTTGAGCCAAGGGCATGTGGGCCCAAGAGGAGAACATCAGTTGTACCCCCAAACTCCATCCTCTGTCTGTCAATCCATTCCTCCATCCTAGGCCAGAGTCAGTTTAGCAGTAGAGGGGCCTCCATAATTTGGGGGGCCAGAGTCCCTAATCAGTTGGTCTAGAGCAGGCTGGTTGTGGGGAGACCCTAACAACAATCTGCTCTTCTTTCCCTCCTGCTCCACCCTCACACCCTGCCCCACCCCATCCACCACCTGCCCCACCCATGCCCTTCCTCCCCTCTCCTCCTCCCGCCTGCCCCCACTTTGCTTCGCCTGTCCCATCTCCCTCCTTAACAACCCCTCCCCCACCCCAAGGTGAAGGTCTGGTTCCAGAACCGCCGCACCAAGCAGAAGAAAGACCAGAGCAGAGACCTGGAGAAGCGGGCGTCCTCCTCAGCCTCCGAGGCCTTTGCCACCTCCAACATTCTGCGGCTACTGGAGCAGGGCCGGCTGCTCTCTGTGCCCAGGGCCCCCAGCCTCCTGGCGCTGACCCCTAGCCTGCCAGGCCTACCTGCCAGCCACAGGGGCACCTCCTTAGGTGACCCCAGGAACTCCTCCCCACGCCTCAACCCGCTGCCCTCGGCCTCGGCTTCCCCCCCGCTGCCGCCCCCTCTGCCAGCTGTCTGCTTTTCCTCAGCCCCACTGCTGGACCTGCCTGCCGGCTACGAACTGGGTTCCTCGGCCTTCGAGCCATACAGCTGGCTAGAACGGAAAGTGGGCAGCGCTGGCAGCGGCAAGAAAGCTAACACTTAAGACTCCTACCCTGTGACACTGAGTCCTGAGCACAGCACCTTCCCAGCCTCCTGTGCCCCAGCGGACTGCACTGAGCAGGCCCTGGAGAGGAGGGGCAGCAGCGATGCACTCCTCCCCACCTGCCCCCCAGCTCAGAGACTCAAGACCAAATGGCCTTGGTCCCGCAGCTTGTGTGCGTGAGTGGTGTGCGTGTGTGTGTCTCTCACTGAAATAAAAGGAAAACAATGACTAGAAGGGAAACAGCGCCCACAGCACAACTACTTACCCCTCAATCCCTTTTATCCCTCTTGTCACTGGAAGGGAAAATGGGCTTAGAGTCAGAGGGACCTCAGATGGGAGGGGGCAGAAACTGGGATTCTGGGGGTCAGGGCACTCACATGTGTGGGTCAGCAGGCACCTGACTCCCACTCAATAGAGGCCCATGGCACCAACACGAATTCTTTGGTTAAATGTTGCCCTTTACAAACCCTCTTTCAAACATAAAAAATACTTGAGAGAGGGAAACATTGTCACGTTGAAGAGGGTGAATGATGAAATGTGAGACCAGGTCGAGAGAGAGGGACAGAGGGCATCAAAGGTAAATGCAAGCAAGAGGCCAGGTGTTCAGAGTGGGCCTGCCCATCACAGACTGCAACATGAAACCCTTTAGAATATATATATACACAGCCTGGCCAACACAGTGAAACCCCATCTCCACAAAAAATACAAGAACTAGCTGGGCGTGGTGGCAGGCACCTATAATCTCAGCCACTCAAGAGGCTGAGGCAGGAGAATCACTTGAACGCAGGAGGCGGAGGCTGCAGTGAGCTGAAATCATGCCTCTGCACTCCAGCCTGACAACAGAGGGAGACTCTGTCTCAAAATATATATGTATATAATGTATATATTTTATATTGCTCAAACAATATAAAATTTTTAAAAGTTAAATAAGAGTCTTGCTCAAGACTCTTTTATTTAACTTTTTATTTTGTAGTAATTGTAGATTTACAGGAAGCTGCAGAGATAGGACAGAGAAGTTCCCTCCATTGGCAGGAACTCAATAGTATGAGACAGATAAGCTTCATCTTCCCTATCGTACAATATCAAAACCAGGAAATTGACATTGGTACCATGTGTGTGCATAGTGCCATGTCATTTTATAGATTCATGGACTCACCACTGCAATCCAGATGCAGACCTGTTCCACCACCACAAAGATCTTCCTCGTGCTGCTCCTTGGTGGTCGCACCCACCCCCGCCCTCCACAGGGGAGTTCTTTGAAAGGATGGGCATTACGAGACAGGAACCAGAGACCTGAAACGGGTCCTCAGGCGGGAGGATGCGGGGTCAGATTTTGACTCTGTGAACAGAAATAACAAGCACAGTCTCCTCCAGTCTGCTCTGAGAAACATAGTAGCCACTGCTTTGGTTTCAAATGGGCTGTCCTGAGTCACCTGGCGTGGGTGCTTGGGGACAGTGATCCCTAGACAAACATACTTCTGCCCTTCCCTCTGCTCAGTGGTATGGTTTGGGGAGGAGCTTAGAAATGCAGAAATCCTGAGTCTAGAATGAGGCATGGGGGTGACCGGAAGACCTTGGGTTGGGCAGGTCCAGCTACCACCCAGAGTCTACCCTGCCTTGCCCAGTGGACCTGTACCACACTCCACTCACCAGGAGAAACCACAACTCTTAGTTTCATGACACAAAGAGAGTTCTTGGGAAGCAGTGGTGAGGTCTCGGGTGGAACCCAGGCCAGGCTGTGCACATAGCTTGATTTATAACTCCAGGTATTTAGTTATACAATACAGGGACCTCTATTTTACTTTCTGACCTGGACTGGAAAGGTCAGGGCAGGCCTCTGCTGTACAGAACTCTGGAGGCGAATGTGAGAAGATGAGACCTGGTTCTACGATCAGATGGAGAGAGACCAGCCCTCGTTCTCAAGATCTCTCAATAATATGAGACAGACAGGCTTCAGGAGGCCCAGGTCTGTGGGTGGAGACACAGGCTCAGCTTTTGGGGGCTCACAGCCCAGTGGCAGGGATAAGAGAGGCCTCTCCTAAAGGGCATGACTTAGGAAACAGGCTAGATGTTTAGTAAATCTTGGCTGCTAGAGAATCCAGAGAAGGCTTCATGTAGGAGGCAGCACTGAGGCTGACCAGGAAATAATTCTCTACAGATGTTCAAAAAGATGACGATGGAATTGTGGGGGGAAGAAGTATCCAGGTATAGTCAGGGCAAGGAGTGCAGGGTGAGGTCAGGTTGCGAGAACAGTGAAGAGAGGGCAGCCTGCCAGAAGTTGGGTGTGGAGAGACCAGAAAGAGCTGTGCTGAGGGACGAGTGTGGGAATGTTGACAGCACCTGAAGGTCCAGGGGGAGGAACTGAATTTACACAGTTTGGGGTTGGCGGGGAGGGACCGCCTAGCACAGAAGCAGGAAAAAGCCAGCCCTCCCCTCTGCCCTTCTCCCTCCACATCCTGCAGCTCCCAGGTGACCAGGGCCCCTCCCAGACCTGCACAACTCAGTGTGGGGAAAGCTTGGGAGCCAGAGCCCAAGGCTTCCTTGTTTACTGTCAACCTAGAGAAGGAGGAGAGGGAGGGGAGAGGAGGGGGGAGGGGTGGCCGCAGGGAAGGCTGAGTGGCTCTCTCCAGCTCCAGCTGGACCTGAGGTCTCAGAGCTGCCACCAGCAGCAGGCTCAGGCACTGGGCTCCCAGCCGGGCACTGCACCATGGCCATGGAGATAGACAGCAGGCCTGGGGGGCTCCCCGGCAGTGGCTGCAACCTAGGCGCAGCCCGAGAGCACATGCAGGCGGTCACCCGAAACTACATCACCCACCCCCGTGTCAGTGAGTAGCCCCTCCACCGTGGTGGGTGAGGTCAGGGTGGGGAGCTGGGGTGGGCTGCCAGATTCCCTGGCTCTGATTCTTGCCTCAGAAAAGGAGGAGGACCCAAAACCTGGGGAGACTTGGAGGGCTCTCTGTCCAGCAGAGTGACACCATGGGGCCACCTAGACCAGGGGCCACCTCTGCAGGTGAGGGGTTGCAGGTCCCCAGCCCAGCCTACCCTAGAAGAGAGGGCTGGGGAATAGCTGTCATCAGCCCAATCCTGCTGTAACACCCCAAGTCCAGAGACAGCTTCCAGTTGCCCCTGAGAGTAGGGTGTGCTGTGCACCTGCTCTTGTGTAAACGTGCCTGTGTGAGGAGTGTGCACCCAAGCACTCAGCGTGAGGCGGGGTGTGATTAAGTGTACTTGGAGTGGTGTGTGTGGCAGTGTAGAGTGTCAGCACTCTCAGCCTGAGGAAATAGGTGCCTTGTGTGTGTCACATCAATGGGTGCATGTTGTGTTCTGCTCCCGACTGGGGAGGTGCCTGTGTGCATAAGCAGGTGGGAGCATGTGTCTAGGGGGTACTCCCACCTTCACTTGGGGTAAGGAAATGTGTGACAGCATGCTTATGCACTCAGGGCAAAGGTGTGTGTGTGTGCACTTAGGTGTGATGTACGTGTGTGCATGTGCGCTTACGGAGAGCACGTGTGTATGTGTTCCGGCAGGGTCATATATCTGAGTATGGTGAGAGTGTGTACAGCTAGGATAAGAACGAGTATCCAGGTTTGAGGCATGGAAGTGTCCACAGGCGCTGGGATGTACCGTTGTCAATTTCAGAGGGGAGGCCCTACGTGTGGCTCCTGTGCCTGTCCTGCAAGGGTGGCCAAGATGTCTGGGGCAAGGTCCAGAGGACCAAAGGGAACCCCTGCATCTCCTTGTCCAAGGTCACTCTCTCTGGCCTGGTGAATTCTCAGGCCGCCCTGCTCACTGGAGTAAACCAGTGTGGCCCGCCACAGCTATGCAGAGCCAGAGGCTCACTGGACTAAACCAGCGTGGCCGCCACAGCTATGCAGAGCCAGAGGCTCCTAACAGGGAGTGTGATGTGAGGCGAAGTGAGCCTGACACAGCCACCCCACCTCCCTCTGTTCCTCTGTTACTATCCAGGCCAGGAGAGGAGGTGACGTGAACTCAGAGGGTAGCTGAGGGGTGAAATCAGAGCAAAGGGGCCCAGGGGCGCATGGGAGGAGAGCCCTGGGGTGTGGGGCACCTCCTGAGGCCTGAGGCAGGTGCTGAGGGTGGAGCACATTCCAGCGAAGAAGAAATGGTGAGAATGGGGTGGGTCAGATTTCTCAAGGAAGGCCTGTAGGCCCTGCCCCATGGAGGCTGGGGGAGGATAGGAGGTCCAGATTCTCCCTAGACCAAAGTTAGGGTCACCTAGGCCCAAAAATATGCAGTGACTGGGCCCCCTTGGGTCCAGAGCCCAGGCCTGAAGCCCTAAGCTAGGATGTGTGACTCTTGCCAGTCTGTTGTGATGAGCCCCACTCCCTGCAGGCAGTCCCTCCTCCCTGTGGGCACTGGGGAGCTGCTGGGTGCCGAGAGTGGTGTGTGATCTGCACCTTCATGCTCTGCTTTCCTTCTTCCTGGAATATGCCCCCACCTCCTGATGCCCAGGGACCCTATAGATAACATCTAACCCCACACTCCTCTGGGCAGGATGGCCCAAGCCCGGAGCCACCTCCTGTCAGCTCCTTCCCACCCAGCCCCTTATTTATAGTCAACATTCCCTGGAGATTCTGACCCAGGCTGGAACCCAGGGGTGGCAGTGTCCCCCCCGCCACCCTATGTTTGCATGCCTCCCTCGATGCTGGCTGTATATGGCCTCCACCCAGGAAAATGTGTTCACATCCAACAACCCAACAGGGACCCAGAGCAAAGGTCAGTGCAGGGGAGCCCCTCTAGGCTCTGCTCCCTGCCAGCACCTTTACTTTTGCTGCCTATCAAGTGTCTTCACAGGATGCACCGGACCAGCCTCAGCCCAGCCCAGATGCCCTCCCACCCCCAGGGGCATGCTCAGATTCCTCGGTGTGTCCCTTCATCCGCAGTGTCTCCCAATCCCCTCCCCACCCCACTCGCTTCCTCCTCAGGCTCTGAGGGTGGGAGGGGTGGAGGGGGTTCTCCCTGGGGCCTGTGGACAGGCGCAGGGCTGGCAAGAGTTTGAAAATTTAGGGCTGCACCCTCAGTACACTGGAGGCAGGGGTGCTCTGTCCCTCTCCGCCTGTCTCCCCCCCCAGCCTGGCCTCCTACCCTGGGTCTGTAAGCACTCCCAGACAGGAGAACTCTGGCAGAAAAGCTGGGGAGGGGGGAGCTAAGGGCAAGGAGGCCCCAGGGCTCGCTCAGCCATGGGTGGAGATGAGTCCAGGTGACTTAAGAGGCATTCCCTTCCCCGGGCAGGTGGGCTAAAGAGGCCTGAGACTTTAAGGGTGATTTCACTGCAGGGGCTGAGAGAGGACTGGCCAGAAAGGAGGAGACACCAGAAAGGGTGGAGGAGCTAGAATTGTTCCCCAAGGGCCTTGGCTCCCAGCCAAGGAGGAGGTATCCTGGAGCTTCATCTGTCTGGGCAGAAGATGTTGGGCTTGCCAGGTGGAGGTGCCCAACAGGAGCAAAGGTCAGGAAGGACAAGCTGGCAGCCTGGTTGGAGGGATGAAGCCAGGTCAGATCCCCGCAGATCCCCCAGGAGCTTGAGTGCCAAACCACCGGCTTTGCTTCCCCGCCTCGGTTTCCTCAACTGGAAGGGGAAGGAGTTACACGGAGAGAGTCCCAACAAGCAGGGTCTTGGGCTGAAGAGCCCTCAGCTTCCAGCCCCTGCCCTCCCTCCCCTAATCCCTCCAGCGGGATCGGGGAGGAGGTGCGGGACCTGCTGCCCTGGGCTTGCCCCCACCCTGGCCTCACGCATGGGCGCCTGTCTCAGCCCTCTCCCAGGACGCTGCAGGTGTGGCTGGGCCAGCGCTAATTAGTGGGCCGCGCAGGAGCCCCGCTGAGCCTTTGACAGAAAAGGCGGTAGGGAGGTGGGGGCAGGGAGGCGCTCCACCAGCCAGAAGTCCGGAGCACAACCCAAAGTGTCAGCTAGGACAATGGAGAGGGGGTGGGCCGGGCAGCTGGAGGGAGTGTCGGCAAAGTCTCTGGAAGGCCCATGGAAGGAGCGCCCCTCTGCCTGTGGCAATGCACCCGCTTCCTTCCCCAGGGTCCAGGCGAACATCCCAGGGTTGCAGAGTGGCCATAATCGCTGAGCGCCGCAGGATACCGTCCTGAACTGCGGCGCGTCCTACGAGAAACTAGCCCACTTTCTGGGCCTCGTTTTGCCACTCCATGCAAGGGACATATGGAAGTGGAGGTTGCAGTATACAAACAAAAGGACCGGCTTGCAGTCAAGGACACCTCTGTTGCTCAGCCCCCATTTTGGCTGTGTCCAAACCAAACAGCCTAGAAGAAAAGATCAGGCTGGCCTAACAGCGGAGGGGCAGAGCTCTAAGACATCTGAGGGGAGAGATATCATCCCTCTAGGGTCCCTGTCTATAGTACTGTGGGACAGCAATGGGGAGACGACTCAGTGGGCTGCAGTAGTCAGTCAGGGGCAAGACCTTGAAGGATGTGCATAGTCCAGTGCTGAACAGAAACAGCCGCGTAAGTGGATTATCTGCAATGAAGGGTCCAGGCTATGAAGCGATGTGTTCACGCAGAGCCAGGCCTGGAAGCTGCCAGAAACCCAGGAAGGCAACTCACAGCTGAGGCTGATGTGCTAAGATGTTGAGCTTTGATATCTCACCCTGATCACCCGAGTGGCCTGGCCGGGGAAGGCATCTGACTCCCAGAGGGCCTGCGGCAAGTACTTTCCAGCTGCCTCTAGGCCTCTTCCAGCCCAGCCCCTCCTCCAGAGGGAAGGGCTGTGTGGATCCCCTAATCCTCTGTCCCCCATCACCACTCTGGTGCTGCCCCCACTCCCAGGTGGAGCTGCTGGATGTCAGAGTTAATGGGGATTCTACATGACAGGGGTTGTGAAGTGGGGGAGCAGCTGTGAAGGAAGGGAGGAAGTTGAAAGACTTGTCTCCGGAGGCGGTGGAATTAGAAATGATTCCCTGGACTTTTCTGGTCCTTGGGCCCCATCCCCTCCCACACCCCCACCTCCCTATCCAGCCCACCCACCCTGCATCTTTTCATCACTGCTTTCTTCCCCCAGCGCAGCCCTTTGGCAGGTGTGGCATGCCAGATGCCAGCTCTCCCTGGGGCTTATAAAGATGAGGGTCTCTCCTGCCTGCTCCGCATTCCCCTGCTTGCACAATCCGCTAGCAGTCCAGACAGTCTGATCCAAACACCATGTGGGTGTGGGAGTGCTGTGGCTGTTTAGAGGTTTTTTTTTATTGGTGGGAAGGGTAATGCCCAAGCCTCTGTTTCCTACCCTTTCTCGTTGAGGAGTCTTCCTACGCCCAACAACCCCTTAGCCCAGTGGGCATCCTCTTTCTCTTCTACTCTCTGCCTTTTCAGGAAGTATGACTGGTGCTACGGGTGCAACCCTTTAGGCTGGACAATAGGACTCTCATTTGGTTTGGAGGCTTGGGAAGGTCAGGAGGGGACACACAATGGTTCTGATGTGGAAAGCATGGGAAGGAGCAGATGGGGTCAGTTAACATAATCCATCCGCAAACATTTCTTTTTCTTTCTTTCTCCTTCCTCCCTTCCTCCCTCCCTTCCTTCCTTCCTTCCTTCCTTCCTTCCTTCCTCCCCTCCCTCCCTCTCTCCCCCTCCCTCCCTTCCTTCCTTCCTTCCTTCCTTCCTTCCTCTCTCTCTTTCTTTCTTTCTTTCTTTCTTTCTTTCTTTCTTTCTTTCTTTCTTTCTTTCTTTCTTTCTTTCTTTCTTTTTCTTTCTTTCTTGACAGGATCTTACTCTGTCATCCAGGCTGGATTGCAGTAATAGCGTGATAGAGCTCACTGCAGCCTCAACCTCCCTGGGCTCAGATGATCCTCCCACCTCAGCCTCCTGAGAGCTAGGACTACAGACATGTTCCTCCGTGCCCAGCTAATTTTTTAATTTTCTGTAGAGACGGGGCTTCACCATATTGCTGGTCTCAAACTCCTGGGCTCAAGCGATCCACACACCTCAGCCTCCCAAAGCGCTGGGACTACAGGCGTGAGGCACTGTACCTGTCCAAATATTTCTTTAGTGTGTACCATATTCCCTGCACTCTTCCACTAAGTGTGACACCGCAATGAGCACCACAGATGATGTCTTGCCCTCTTGGAGGTGACAGGTCTTACTGCACCTGAAGTGAGCCTGTGCATGCCAGCCCACTGCCCCTCTTTCTGTTCCCCGAAGGCCCTGAATGAGTTCTTTCTCACCTCTGCCAGAAGTGCCCTTTCCCTAGCTCCCTGGGGGCTGGCACCCCTTGACCCTGAAGGCTCAGCTCAAACAGCTCTTCCCATAAGATGCTTCCTCCAAGCGCACCCAGTCTGGTCTTCCCTCCCACTCTCGTTCACCCATCCTGATCTTTCCCTTAGGAGCACCCACTGCAGTTTGTAATTATGTTATTTGCTCTGTATCCTTTTAGCCTGTAGGCACTTCATATTTTCACTTTCATTTGCCTCGCTTAGTACATAGAAGGCATCCATGCAGTAGATATGCTTAAAGAAAGGAAGCGAGGAGGGAAGGAAGAAAGCAGATCTCAGAGGAAAGGAGAGGGAGAAGTGCAGAGCCAGGCCAAACCTTGAAGTCCTCCGGCACCCAAAGGTCTGACAGTGAGGAGTGTGAGTGTGAGTCTTCAGAGGAGGCTGATGGGCAGCCCCAGAGGAGATCTTCCAGAGGGCAGCGTGCCCGGGCTCTGAATATAGCCATCGGAGACCACTGAAGCCAGAATTGACAGGACCAAGGAGAAGGTGGAAGGTGGGGAAGGAAAGCCAGCAGTGGGGGCCATGCTTGTGAGGGGAGGAGCTGGAGAAGGACTGGGACTGAGCGAGGTTTCTTTAGGACTGGAAACATCAGAGCTTCATGGGGAGACAAGAGAGGAAAGAGAGAGAGAGGCAAGGAGGCTCTGGTCCTTCACCCCATGGAGTCATCTCTAGGCCCTGTTTCCCAGTGCAGAGGAAGGACCCGCTATGAAGGAAGCAGGGACACCTCCTTGGTGGGAATAGGAAGGAAGAAGGGGGTGGCTCAGGTGCAGGCCAGTCAGGTCTATAAGGTAGGTTTGAACGCAGGGAACTGAGGGAGTTCCCCAACTATGGCAAAGTGCAAGTTGAACTTGTCTTCTCTGGCTGTCCTCGAGGCCCGGAGTTTTCCAAATGATTCTTACACTTGGAGGATCCTTGTAAAGATCTGTGCAAGAATCACTGTGCCCAGTCGGTCTTCCTAGTTCAAGTCGTGGTGAAAAGAGCTTAGATCAAACAAAAATAAGAAGTTTGACCACAGATATCCAGATTGGGAAGGGGAGGGACTTTTGGTTTTTCTTTGGCATGTGGTGGCTTGGGGCCAGGCTTGCCCAAAGCAGGAGGGTAAGTGAACTGAGAACCAGTGTGGTCCAGCAAGAAGCACAAGGGGGGGTCCCAGCTCCAGCTCTGCCACACATGTGCTGTGTGGCCCTGGCCAAGGCTTCTCACACTTCTGGGCCCCATTTTCCTTGCCTGTGAAAGAGGGGTTGGGCCACTCCCCTCTGCATCCTGCCAGCCTGTGACTGACCCAGTGGCCTCACAGGCCCCATGCCCACCTTGCCAAATGCCTTCATTTCAGGTGTCTCATCTCATTAGTGCATCACAAGAACCCCAGAGAAGGGCACTGGTATCCCAGGACTATGGGCAAGGGAGTGTCCCAGGTCTCTCAGCCAGCCTCTAGCAGAACCAAAACTAGGCTTGCCTCCTGCCAGTCCACAGCTTCTTCTATGGGAGTTTGGAAGTATTTCTTGACATCTAACCCAATTCCCTCTGCAAGCTGAGCTCACTTCCCATGTGTGGGTCTCTGCAGCTGCCACATCTGCAGGCATTTCCCTCCTTCCCCTGACTTTGCACTCCCTCCCCTCCCATGCTGAGCACCCAGTGAGCCTGGGGAGTCCAGGAACCCTGTGATGAGAGCAGAGGCCCCATTTGGTTTTTCTCAGTGACACCTGCACCTCCTACACACCACACACACACAGTCCTGGTGAGGGCAGAGGGGGGCACTTTTCGGCCACAGCCAGGGGCTGGGAACTTTTGGAAAATGTTTGGAGTGAGAGAGGATGGAGTGGGTGAGGTGGGGGTGGAAGCCAGAGGGGAAGCAGCCCCAGGGATGAGAGGCCTCTGTGTGATGGGGGCGGACTCTGAGGAGGCCTCTGCCCTCTGCCCGGCCCTCCCCCAGCCTCCTGCAGGTGTCCGAGCAGCGGGGGCCCTGCGGGCAGGGGCATGACCCTTACAGCAATGGTGGCTGGCCCTGTCACAGCTAATGACCCTGACGGCCCAGGCTGGGAAGGAGGTGGGGTGTGGAGAGGAAGGGAAGGCGGAGGATGCCTCTGTGTGTGTGAGCAGGTGTTTGGGGTGAAACCCCTCCTCACCCCTGCCCCTCCCCCAGCCTACAGGACTGTGTGCAGCGTGAACGGGCCTCTGGTGGTGCTGGACCGGGTCAAGGTAAGACTCCTCCGCCGCCTCCCTGGCACTAAGGCCAAATCCCAGGGCGCCTCTCCCTTGCCCTGCAGGATTTCTTCTAAATTACCCTTTCCCTTCATGGCCCCTGGGGCCTGCTCTATTCTCTCCGTCCAGGCACCCACTCTCACTCTCCTACCCTAGCTGTAACCGAAGCCATCCAAGCTTTCTCCTCCCTGCCTTTTCAGTAAAAACCGTAAAAACCCATGGAGGCCCAGCCCTGGGCCTTGGGAAACGTGCTTCTACCCCTAACGAGTTGTTCTGCCTCCGTTTCCCCATCAGTGGCATGGGCGTACCTAACCTCAGAGGAAGGCCGGACCGTAGCACCGTTGCACCTAACCTCCTCGAGGGCTAGAATCTCCCCACCAGCAACTCTCACAGGATCTTCTTTTAAGGGGAAAGAGGAGGAGGTGCCAACTAAATTTTAGTGCCAACTAAAATTTCTAGGGATCTTGATGACTTCCAAAGGCCTTTGGAATATCTCAGTCTCAGCAACATGGGTGGGAAGTGAAGTGGCCCCACCAAAGGTAAGTGGGCTGTGGGCTATTTTGTAGCCCCTGGGAAACTGGCAGACACTGACAGTATCTTGAGTCCTGGGGTTGGGAATTCTTGAGCCATAAACAGCCCTGCAAAGGTATAAGATCACTCCCTTATCCTTCCTCCACCAACCAGCTCCAATCCCTCAGCCTCTCACCTCACCTCCTAGCTGAGCAAACTGGAAGTCTCAGTGCCCCTTTGAACCTTCTTGTCCCAGACCCCACACCTGCCAGCACCCATGTCTGTAGCTCCCTCCCACCCCACTGCTACCTTGTTATGGCAATGACCTTGGGCTCCCAGCCTGGCACCCTCCTATCCTCTTTCCATCCTCCAGCCTTTCAGACCTGACCCTTGCATCAAATTCGCCTAGGGCTCCCCAGTGCCCTCAGCTTACAGGTCTTTTCTTTTCTTTCTTCTTTTTTTTTTTTTTTTTTTTTTTTGGAGACAGAGTCTCACTCTGTCGCCCAGGCTGGAGTGCAGTGGCGCAATCTCGGCTCACTGCAAGCGCCGCCTCCCGGGTTCACGCCATTCTCCTGCCTCAGCCTTCCCAGTAGCTGGGACTACAGGCACCCACCACCACGCCTGGCTAATTTTTTGGATTTTTAGTAGAGATGGGATTTCACCATGTTAGCCAGGATGGCCTCGATCTCCTGACCTTGTGATCCGCCTGCCTTGGCCTCCCAAAGTGCTGGGATTACAGGCGTGAGCCACCACGCCCAGCCACTTACAGGTCTTTTCTATGAAGGTGGCTGCAAGCCTTTCCGCTCACGCTCATCACTTTCCCTTCCCTGTGTAAAAACTAACACCTGAAATAGTGACTGCATGGGGCTGCCACTTGAGATCGCTGGACAGTTGCATATCATGTTTTTAAAATGTGATCAGCAATGTATGTTTATTAACAAATTAAATAACGAGATCTCGCCACCAGTTTCACTGCTATAATTTTAAAGTGTGATGAGCACAAATAGTATTTTGAGATCTCGGCAACAACTGTAATGTGGTATGAAAATATCTGTGATTTCTGTTGGTAACAAAGTCACAGGTACTGTGGAACTGCTAATTCTACTGTGGTTTGTTCCTTACATTCAGAACTAGAGGAAACACTAAATTTCTGTAAACGTTAATGAATGTAAAAATGTAACTTTCCCATCCAAGATCACAGAACCCCTGAGTTCTCTCTGTAGACTCTGAGAGAGGTTCCAGGCAAAGAACCCTTCTCACAATTAGTTGGACAAGAGGATAGAGTATGTGGAAAGGAATGACAAAGATTGCAGGCTTGTGTCTGGGCATTTTATAACAGACACACAATAATTGTACATATTCCTAGGGTACACAGTGATGTTTTGATTTATATAATGCATAGTGATCAGGTCAGGGCAATTAGCATATCCATCATCTCCAGCATTCTTTCTTTGTGTTGGGAATATTAGTATCCTTTTTCTGGCTATTTGAAGACATATGTATATATATTTGTTAACTACAGTCATGGACAGTCATCCTATTGTGGTATAGAACACTAGAACTTATTGCTCCTGGCTAGCTGTAATTTTGTGCACGGATTTTTCCCTCTGCCTCCTATACTACCCTTCCCCCTGTTCCCTCCCTCTGACTCATCCCCAGGGTTGAGAGGTCACCTTCTCCTCTCCCTCTTTTCTACTTTTTGTGGTCTTATTAGTGGCATCCATTGAGGCATTTGGTCAAGATCTGGCCACATATCTCCTCTCTGCCCTTCCCCACACACACCGTGCCCTGCTATTGGCCATGAACTGTGTTTTGTTCGTCTTTAGCTCCAGAAGCCCAACACAGTATTTTTACTGAACACGTAGGCTATAGTAGGTGCTCAGTATGTTTGCTCAAAGGAAAGGTGAGTACATTAATGAGATAAATGAATGAATAAATGTTAGCATGACTAGCTATGGACCTGTCAAAACCTGAGCCAGCAATATTAAAGAAATCAGACCCATTCGTTGCTAGCTAACAGATTCTGAGTTCATAGGGACATTACCGCTTGACCCCCCCCAGTGTAAGGGATGCCTCAGGAGGAAGTGTGGCTGAGTAGTTAAGTGTGGCACACTGAGTTTGGATTTTAATCCCAGCTCCATCCCACTCTTTTCTACTAGCTACCTGCCAACCCTAGATCAACAGCATCAGTACCACCCAGGAACTTGTCAGAAATACAAATTCTTGGGCTCCACTCAGACTGACAGAATCAGAAACTCTGGGGGTAGGGCCCAGAAGTCTGTCCTCACAAGCCTTCCAGATGAACTGATGCTCTAGTTAGAGAACCATCGATCTAGGATTGCAAGTCCCAGTTTCCTCATCTATTAAATAATAATAGGGTTATTGTGAGGGTCACATCAGACAAAAGTAGTATTATTCTCCCTTGAGAATAGCCAGCAGTATTTCTGCCTGGAATGCAGAAATGCTAATAAGCCTGATTAAATAGTTGGTGCCACCTCCTGCCCCTCTTCACCTCCACCACACTCTCCACCAGACCTGCCATTCCCCATGGGACCCAGGGTGGCGTGGAGTCGGAACCTATACAGGTGTCCACCTTCTCCACTGTAAAATGAGGCAGACCTAGGAAACCAGAACTAGGTCCCCAGATCTGTGGTTCTGCGACTATCGTTTGCATCTGTAGCTTTGGCAGAGAAAATAATTGGGAGGTGGAGGTACCTCTCCGCATCCCTCTCCACTTCCCCTACCCCTTTCTCTCTTTCAGGATTTGGCAAATGCTACAGCGTTTCTACAGCGCCACCTTCTGCCCACATTGAATCACACAGGCAATTACTCTTCCTGCTTCTGTCCTCAAATGTAAGAACATTTGAGGGAAGAATTTTGTGTAGATCAGAGGTTCTTAGTTTAGGGAATTAGGCCCTTGAAATTGTGTGCAAACCTCTGAAGGTATCCATGAATGTGCCTGTGCATTTTTCTGGGAGGAGTTTCTACAGTTTCATCTGATTTTCCAGATGTTTGTGACCCAGAAAAGGCTAACTGATTTGCAGAAGTTGAACAAGCATCAGAATACCGGGGGTGCAGGGGCTTGTTAACAGGCAGATTGCTGGGCCCCACCCCAGAGCTCTGATGCAGCATGTCCGGCGTAGAAGGCCCAAGAATGTACATTTCTATCAGAATCCTAGGTGATGCTGCTGGTATGGGAACCACACGGAGAACCTCTGTTCTAGAGAATTTTCTGACTCCTGTATTCTGTGATTCAAATTGCTCCCTGTTTGAGAATTGGAGTAAGCACTCACCTTAACCACCAGACTCGACCCCCAATGTCTGTGGCTGCTTTCAAAAGAGTCTGTATCAGCTCTGAAGACAATTTCCAAAGAGGAGCTCCCGCACTGCCCTGGCCATTGTCAGCAGGAGGGACCTTAGAGGCAGCATTCCTGTGCACAAATCCCAACAGGCTTGCTAAGAACTTTCAGTCCTCCGTGTGTACGCAGCAGCTCCCTGGTGCCTGGCCACTTGCTGGTTGAGAGCTCAGATGAATCTCCAGCACGGGGTTCCATTGCACTGCATCATGACCTCTTCCTGCAGCCCTCTTAGTAACCCACAGTGAGAGTCGATGGGATCAGGCCTGCTCAGTATGCGGTTGGGAAATAGGGCCCCTTAAGATACAAGCTCCTGGACTCGCTATCCCCCAATGGAATTCTCCCTGGCACCCACTGCCCTAACTAGTCATGAGACGCCGCCGCCACCACCACCAACGAACAGCCAGCACACACTTAGAGCCTGGGGCTCTTCCTAAAGTTTCCAGACACTACATCCTCCATGCCTGGGTGTGAAAATCTGATGGCCCTTCCCCAGATCTGACCATAATTTTTGCTATTTAAAGTTCATTTTCTCTGATTTTATCCTTCAGGGACACAGAACGCACCCCTCTCCTCTCCACTCTCCTCTCCTGCCACCCTCCCTCCCTCACCCACATAAGCCCACATGAAAATCATCACTATTTATTTATTTATTTATTTATTTATTTATTTATTGAGACGGAGTCTTGCTCTGTCGCCAGGCTGGAGTGCTATGGCGCGACCTCGGCTCACTAACCTTCGCCTCCCGGGTTCAAGCGATTTTCCTCCCTCAGCCTCCCGAGTAGCTGGGATTACAGAAAATGATCACTTTTAATCACTCCACCGCCTGATTTCTTTGGGGCACACTCTGGCCTGTGCTCTGTACAGCAACTTTTCCCCTGAGGTTAAAACAGCCCTCCGTCACCTCCAGGGAGGTGATAAACAATGAGGCAAGGCTCGTTTCGTATCGAAACACAGGTTATCAGAGTAGGAGAGGAAAACGAGCAGGGACGTGTGTTCCACGCGTTTCCCAGGCACTCGCTGTCCGTGCTCCTGGGCTCCCTCTTGTGGTTGAGAACCCCAGACACCTGGGTTTTCGCACCTCCTCCCACCTCGGAGCCTTCCTCCTGGGCTGGCCTCCTGCTGAGGCCC